GGAAGGCAGGTTAAGCTCACCCAGAGCTTCAGGCTTGAGACAGGTTTCCTGTGAGCAAAGACAGAGGAAGGTTAGAACCAGTTTTCTCACTTAGAGACAACTTAGATTCTTTTTGGTAACAGAGGCTTAGGTTGCTAACCAAACTAAGGTCAACACTGCGGCGTTGAAGGAAGGTCTGGCAGCTGCTTATGAAGGGAAGGTCTCGTGATGAGTAGATGCGTCTCAGGTGTGCTGGAGGGCTCCAGCCCAGGAGACCCACGGCGCACTCTGCTGGAGGAAGATGGTACATCCCCAGATCCCAACAGCGCCCCTGTTTGTGTTAAATAAGCGCTTTGAACTTTCCCACTGCCTGTCTCACCTCAAATTCAGGGTCCAACATTCTGAGATCATTACAAAAAGCTTCCAATATTCACAAAGGGGTGCTGTCAGCTGGATGCTAAGGTTGTAGAAGAGACAAGGAAGATAGCACATTCAAGAAGTTATGCTGAAAGGGTGAATGGAAAAACATCTCAGAAATAAAAAATATTAACTGGAACCATACCCATGAACACGCTATTTTGGGAGTGGCGGCCTAGTGGTTAGGGCATAGGGCTTTGAATCTTAAGGTTGGGAGTTCAATCCCCCACTCCCACAGACTGCCACTCTGGGTCACTGAGCAAAACCCTTAAAACCACACTGCTCCCCGTGCGCCGCATAATGGCAGCCCACTGCTCCCCAAGGAGATGGGTTAAATTCATTTCGTTGCTCTGTACTTGTGACAGTGGAATGACAATAAAGTTTAATTCTATTTTGTGCTCATCGTTTTGATTACCCGGTCAAAATCCGAAGTAGGGATGTGTCTCATAAAGTGCACAAAAGGAAAGAAACGTTAGTATTAACTGAATTTATTCCAGTCATGTTTAACAAAATCGTTGATATCAGCATAAATTGCAGACGATCATCTACCTCTAAGGCTAACCTGACCACTGCTCTGATAAAGAGTGGCCCTGATCTTAGGTCTTCTAGTTTACATACTCTATCTCACAGCTTCGCCTTCTGTTATCCAAGTCTTCCAGAGTCTAGCAGTTGCACAGAATCAATACTTCAGCTTTACTGAAACAAACCTGTAAGCTTTCACATAAAAGACACAGGACATGAGCACACCTATACAGTAAGCAGTAACAGAAAATCAAATAAAAAGAAATCAACCCCCAACACCATTATTATATCAAATGTTAAAATATTTTATCACTTTTGAAAACTAATAGCACAAGTACAATGTTCAACCATCACTTCAATCTGTCATAAAACAGGACAGATGAACCCAGTATTCAAGGTGAGACAGCTTTTAGGAACGTTCAAAGTGTTCATTAAATGATAACAAACAAAACTAAAGTGGAGCTGCTAGGATCTGTGGCTCGCGGATGCTGCAGGAGGGGGGCGGGGCACCGCCCAATCTCTGACACTCTGGTAGGAGAAACACAGGTAAGTGACAACAATCATCTGACAGAAGATGATCTCAGTGAGTCACTTACCTGGTTCAACAGTCCAGTCCATCTCCCTGGAAAGGGGCACAATCCAGCCACTGGACTGATGGCAGACGGGGCATGCGTCACTGAATGTCCCCGGTGCAGCAGTCCCAGAGAACTTGCTGGAAGCTGATCCTGGACAGGGATTCAGAACAGGTAGGAACAGACAGAGCAGGCAGGATCCATGCTTTCAGGCACCCTAGAGTTCCCAGGCAGGTTCAGAGTCCAGACGTGTGACCAAGCAGACACACACAGGAGCAGAAAGGATCAGGTGCAGACAGGCAGGTGGAAGAGGGTAGCCGAGACAGGACATGGAGCCAGAACTTGAGAAGGACCTTTAAACTGGTCTCCACCTTGGAGCCAGGCTTACTGGAATAAAAACTGATTCTCCTTCCGTATAGAGCAAAAAACCCTGAAGACTCAGCAGGGGAGGAACAGCGGATGAGCAGGAGATGAGACAGACAAAAAAACCCTCTTTCAACTGGCCGCCAGGATCCAGGACATGAACCTTAGAACAAAACAGAACTGAACAGACTGAACAGAAAACATCTAACGATCTGGCCATGATAGATGGAACTGAGCCCAATATAAGGGAAACTGGCAGGTGGATGAGATGAATGATAATTAGGAGCTGGAAAGAGTGAAGCAGGAGAACGGCAACAATAAGTTTGAAAAATGAAAAACATGCTGTTATAAACTTCTCTTTGAAGCAGATAATTTCTGAAAATGCAATGCGCTAAAAACTCAGAACTGTGCAAACCTTAGAAAGCTTCATTTTGTCATCCTCCCTTATGTAAATAAAGTATGTTATTGTTACCATGGCTGTAACTACTATTACGGATGCCGAGGTCTGGACCTGTGTATTTTACTGCTTTGTATACAGCATAGGCGAACAAGCCATGCGCATCAAGCACTGCACATAGGGCTAGGAGTTGCGGGGGGAATAAAAAACAATAAAAAAAAAGTAACAATAACATACTTCAAATTAAAATGTATAAAGCTTTTTATTTCATATAGTTGAAATGTATAATATATATTTCATGTAATGATTAATACACAGAAAAAACCTCTCCTCAAGAAAGAAGCAGACAGTATTCAACTTTGAAAAAAAAGAGCTTTTAGTCATGTTACATGTTACTATCACCTCAGTCGGATAGTAAAATGACAATCCTTGGGGAATAACAACCACTTTCTCTGAATCATTTTGGGTTATGGTTCTACTGGACATAATCATGTTGTAATAAAACAACTGCATCTATAACTGGACAATGTCCAGCAGGTCCTTGAAATTTCTATGCAGTTCTGTCAGACATTTTAAAAATACTGTCGCTCCTCAGTTATAGAGTTACCTTGGTTTATAATGTAATTTTCTTTGAAAAAGTATATTTCCTTTTTGCAAATTCAGACCTAAAGCAGAACGTCCATTTTAGCAATGAAAGATGTGAGTGAGGCTGGTACCATGCAAAGTTGCCAAAGAGGCAAAGGCAGCATCTTAATGTTGTCAATGCAAATTCTTCCAGAATTTGCAAGTAAAATATAAGCTTTTTTAGTTCAGATGAAAGTCCCTCTTTTCTCTTTTCCTAATGATGGCCCTGATGATGCTTGTAAGATTAAGCCATCTAATTTCTTGAGAAAGTGAATATATGTGAATAGTTGTAACTTATAATCAGCAAATTCTGGGTAAAGACAGCATTAGATTTAATCAATATAAGTGATACAAAGACAAAACTCTGCTAAATAAAGAGGTGGACAGCGTTTTAACTATGAAAAAAACATAGAAATTAATCTAGGAGTTGCCCACCTCTCGCCCGTAGACAGCTGGAGATAGGCACCAGCACCCCTCGTGACCCCACTTGGAATAAAACGTGACAGAAAATGGATGTTTAAGGTCTGTCTTAGAACAGCAGTGGAGAAGCATTTAACTAAAGACACTAATGATTTTTAATAGTCTTCTGAAAAGGATGCTCATTGTTGTCAATAACGGTCTTCATTTTTCATTTGTCTATGTGAAAACATCTCCACAGGCTCTAGAGGAGTACCTAGAAAGAAGGTGACTATTTCTTTTATCAGCTAAGAGGTTTTTTTTAGGTAATTAGGTCTTATGTTGTTACCCAATAAGATGATTGCTGAAGAAATTCTCTCCACAACAGGCTTATAGATGATATGCAGCAGCCCAACAGTGTCTGCAACAATATGCTCAGACTTAGCTGTTATGTAGGTACAGCCTCTACTCCTTTAGATGTGACACGGGAGAGTTTCACAGCTTCCAATGTTATCACAGGGGACCAGCTGGATACACAGATTTTTGTCACAGGGGCTCTGCATGCTGCCTTATCCCAAGTCTCAGGGGAACAGTATGACACCTTAACTCAGGTCACTTCAGCCCAGCATGATGTCTCAACTCAAGTTGCAGTGGTAAGAACTAGGTGTAGTTTCCTTCTTACCCTAAACTCCAAACAGAGCTACAGTACATTGGCTTAAGATCCATTTGTAAAGTCTCCCCTTAGTGCCACGGCTCAGAACAGGGGACCTAATATTCAAGGCAGACAGACAGATCATTCAAAAGCATTTATTTTAAAACGGATCTGCAGTAACAGTGGCTAGTGCATCTAAGACATGAACCTCTGCAGAAAGGAAACACAGGTTAGTCACCACATAAATCTGGCAGAAGATTTTGAATTTGAGTCACTAGGAGAACGAGGTAGCATCCAGCCAGTGGGCTGCCAGCAAGATGCGGCGGGTGCCGCCCAGAGTGTTCCGAATTGCAGCCCCAGAGGATGGAGAACTAGCAAGGGACCAGATCCGAGCAGACAAAAGAAGGCAGAACAATCCAGAGGACGAAGCCAAAGCTCATGTTGAGGACGTGTTCAGGATTCAGAACCAGGAGATCACAAGTCTGAAGAGGTTCTGAAGGAAAATCTAGGACAGTGCCAGGGAACAGCTCCAAGTTCAGCAGGAGTCCATAGACAGGTCAGGCAATTAGATCAGACAGGACCAGGCAGGTTCAGTGGTTGAGAGGCAGAACAGGTTAGGATCAAGTAATAAAAAGACACTAAGGTAACGCTGGCACACTCTCCCCACTGGCTCGAGAATAATCTGGCACTGATGAACGGTTAGAACACTGGACCTGAAAAACAGAACATCCCAAAAGGAACACCAAGGAAAATCTCACATAAAATAAACCTGAAATAAAAAACTGCTCTTTTGTGCTTAAAGGTCTAACAGAGGATGTTCTTTTTCCAGGTGGATCATTAAAATAAGTGGTCCTCCTAATTGTTGATCATTGTAGTGATATACGTAGGGCTGTTCTACGTGCTCATCCCCACCAGTGTTGAGACTGACATAGTGGAAAAATTGCCAAACTTCTTTTGGAAAGTAAGCTGTATGAAGGGCTGCAAACAGCAACGTTTAAACAGAGCGTGCACGAGGAGAGAATGGCTTGTGCATGCTCTTGCACGCGTTTAATAGGCAATCCCTCTCGGGAGCCGGTACAGGGTTGTGCATATGCAATCTTTTCTTTTGTGGAGAGGGAGGGTCTATGCAAAAAATTATGAAAATCCTCCATTGTACATTTAGGACATAATAATAATGTGACAATCCTAAAACAAAAGCTTTTATAGTGACTATAAAATCAACTGACCAGAAGCAGCTACAAAGCAACTTGAAATTTCCATCGAGGTGCTGGGAAATGTTTAAACCAGAAACCACTAAAGATTACAAAACAGGATCTTTAAACAATGTCTGCAAAACACCAGAACCAAAACAGTCTCATGGATGATATTAGAGCAATCTTGAAACTATTTAAATAACGATTGCTCTTTATGTGCTACAATTTAAACACTACACATAATGTGTTAAAACAGTACAGTTGTAATCACATAAGCCCAGGCCAAAATTCTGTCTTAAATAACCCTGAACAGTCCTACCGATGCAAAATGTGCACAAGTTTCTATAGATTATTTGCCAAAAACACAAGCCTGTCAACATCTTCAGGTCTGGGGAATTGATGTAACACACATACTTTTTTGCCAAAGTCTTCACATTTGAGAATATTTCCTTATGGCCCTCCCACTACTGCAGGGGTCAGATTCACTGGTAAAACAATCAAGCTTGGCATGTCTTATTTGGCATCTAGAATCTTACAATGTTTGAAGCCGGGTCTTCCATAACACTGACAGAAGCCATGTTTTTTGTGATATATTTAGTTACATCATCTGGGATTTCCCTCCACCTCGTGCTTTTTCTGTCATATGGGATAGATTTAGCAAAAGAAGAGGCCAGTGTCAATTATTTTACTCGTAGTTTATTCAAATTTCACGAAGCAGTTCAAGGAAAGTTGGAGGATTGTCTTTTCTCTCTCTCAATCTGAGCTGAATTAGCATCAAGTCTGAACCTACTGCACCTTTAAGCAGCTGGTCGAGCCGTGCTTTATCCATATTCTTGGCTGGAAGGCCACCTCTTTGCACTACTTTTGACAAAAAGTGTTCCATTCTCCATAGGAAATCTGACAACTTTTCTCCAGACTACTCCTGCAACAGTCGGAAAGCAAAATATAAATCATCTCCTGACTCTGCCATTCCGAATGCACTATCAAGAGCTTCTAAGCACTTTCCAGGGGTGACATCAGGATCAGAAAGACGAACAGCTTTTATAATTTCTAAAGCAGTACCCTTTAAACTTTCCATTATCCTCCTTCTTTTTTCTTTTGAGGAGCATTAACTCACTTCCACCATCATGTAAGCCTGCTCTAACCAGTAATCAAATTGTTCCTCACCTACTAGAGTAGGCATGATGCCTGAGAAGACAGGTTTGATTGCTTTATCCAGTAGATCACTTACAGCACAAATGAGAGGAACTGGTTCTGGTTCAGCTAGAAGAGCCTGCACATCATCAACAGTCTTCCATTCTGCACGCAAAAGAGTGTTTAGTTTACTTCTAAAATCCGCCTCGTCGCTGGAAGTTTCTGAAATAATGAATATCGGCCAGGCTGTAGACTCATCTGAAGTAGTTATTCATGTTTGATGTTTGTTCGTTTATTTCGTTAGTTTTAGTTTATTCCAAGGTTAATATCCCCCATGCAGTCAGGAGAATAATTACTAGCCAGTGGTGAGAGCCTTAGTCCGCAGGTCCTCAGCTCCACACTTCTGTTATGTTTA